AGAGTTACAACTGTACTGGAAGATCTTGGCTAGGGGAGCAACAAGTTCTGGTGTACAAGTCTTCGGTACTGTTGCTGAAATATTGTCAGGACCCACAGCCTTTGTACTATCCAGTGCCTCCAATCATTGGATATCATGTGGAGGGATTCCAACTGACTTGAATACTGGCATCTACAATGCTGGGAACCACTAGAGGCGGCTATCCTGGTCATCCATTCAACACACCTGGCTGAAGATTGCTACAAATCCTTCAGCCTTAACTTTTCAATTGATGTGTTGGGCTCTTCCACCATAGAGGGCAGGGATATTTGCGGGGATACATGGGCTGTAACCAACTTTTTCTCTCATGACAGATGCTGCAAGGCCTACTTAGCTTCTTCAGCACTGCAGTTTTCTTAGGCCAAGAGAGGTCATGGCTCAGAAAGGAGTCTCTTGCTGTTCAGGCACACATGGACAATAACCACTTGTCCAAGTCCAAAGGAAACACTCCACCTATAAAACCATACCCTAACTATGTAAAGCCAGACAGGAGGTTGGAGGAACCTGGAGCTAAGTTATGTGTGTCTCTCTAATTCAGAAGAAACATTTTTCCAAGACAGCAATTAGAATCTTACGTTTGCTAGCTTAGGGGCCTGTTGTGCCAAAAAGCAAAGATGCATTCAAGGAAAAGCTAGACAAGTATCTGAAAGTGAAAGAAAGAAAAGTATAATGACAGCATTAGATATTGGAAATTCCCTTTACAATACATTGATAAACAGAGCCAAATGGCTTGTTTCTATGCTGTAAATTCTTGCAAAAATGAATTGTAGCTGAAAAGCAATGGTCAATTCTTTACTTCACCTAGGCAGTGAGGTCAGCAAATTAAAAAAAGGTGTCTTTACAAGTGATCCTGTGCAGGCATTCACGTCCATACAAACAGAATAAACTAATTATTTTACAGAATTATACACCTTTCACAGCTCGATATGCACTTTATATCTATTTAAGTATTAGGTTGCCTGGAGTACTCTTAAATAGAGCAGATATCATGTAAATAGTATACAGTTTCTCCAACACGGCAGCACTGACACAGTTGGTAGTGTTCAGGCTCCAGAACCCATCTCCCTCCTTTTTCCTTTTATGTTCTGATGTCATGGGGAAGCCAGGCAGGTGCAGGGCAGGTGGTCAGCTGCAGTGGTGATGGAGCACAGAGTGAGGGCTCATGGCCCAGAGCATAGACCTGGCCAGTCACTGCTGCAGTGGTGGTGCCTGAAGCAAGGACTTCTGGCTACAGTAGACCCAGAGCATGGACTCAGGTCTTCAGTTGCAGTAGTGGCATCAGGCACCGAGGGGACTCCTGGCTGCAATAGGCTGGAAGCATGGACTTAGCAGGTTGTCATCGGCAGTTGCAGTGGTGCCCAGACAGGGACTCTTGGCAGCAGGTCGCTGTGGCAGAGGTAGTGCCCAGATCAGGGACTCCTACCTGTGGTAGGCTAGAAGCACAGGGACGCCAAGGCCCAGGACATCTTGAAGAAGCCCTGGGATGTGTTTGAAGACTCCTTGTACAAATGATAAATTCCATTTTTTAATTTCTTTTTATTCTTTGAAACTCAAAATTGTGACAGGTTGTGGTGACAAGAGATTTTACCATCTTTCCAGCAATGTGACAATAAATGACTCGAATACAATTCAGTTGAAGAAAAATCTGGACAAAATGCAGCCTAGGATTCCATGTGGCACAAAAGGGTTAAGATCCTCAAGTCCAGTGTATTTCTGTCTTTTATGCTGTTCACACAAACTTCCCATATAAGGCAGAACAACATGACACTCAAGATAATAAGTGTACCAATAATTTTGGGGAAAACCAAAATTACATTTCATCATGGTATGAAACATACTTTAAGAGTTACAAGCAACAGCACCACTACACCCACCATCCTTCTTACACATGCCAGCATGAGTATTGTGTTCTAAAATGCCATGTACTATTTCACCACACATTACATATAGACTACTCAACTGTAACCTTAACCTCTACATAATGTCTTATTTGTTTGGTCCTTGCTTCCTCTTTCACTACTCCTACTATTTCACTTCAGACTGAAACTGACTGAAAGCCTGCATTACAGTTCTGAAGTGACTTTTGGCAGAGCTGACTGTTAATAGTTGCACACAATTAGTTCAACATCTGTCATAAATCAAACAGAACACCAAGGGTAACTTTCACCCATCATTCAATCAGCATCAGAAAATTGATTCAACATGCTAGAGAGGCACTGGATAAATTATAGCTCCAATCTTCCCAAATTTTGCAACAGGCACCTTGAACTGCTTCCTTAGTATGTAGGTTATATGGGAAGGACAATATATTGCCACTAATTCACCCTTGTGGTTTTCCCAATTGTCAACTTCTAAGCTTCCACTAGAACAGTGGGATATAATCAAGCTAGGCAAGGCAATTCATTTGAGACAAACTAAATCATAATGAATAACAAATCAAGAGAAAACTTTACTGGTCAAAGTCATACCTAGCACAAAAGGAAGATTGTTGTGTTGTTGAAGGTCAGTCAACTCAGATCTGGACGTCACTGCAGAAGTAGTGTCCTCGGCCAAACATACCCAGCTGCTTCAGTGCCCTTTCTTCCATCATAAAAGTCAGCAAACATCCCTACTTCCAAAAAGTACAAAGGTCAACACAATTTGTGACTTCTCAGAAACTGAAGCAGCCCATGACCAAACACAGCACAAACTGGACAATATCTAGACAGAGGCTAAAAAGTGACAAGTAACATTCACACAAGTTCCAGGCAATGACCATCTCTAACAACAGGGAATCTAATAAATGTCCCTTGACATTCAACAGCATCACCATCAATGAATCTTTCACAATCAATATCTTGGGAGTTACCATTCACCAGAAACTGAATAGGACTAGCCACATAAATAGTGGCTGCAAGAGCAGGTCAGAGGCTAGGAATCCCGGTGCAAATAGCTCACCTCCTGACTCCCCAAATCACATCCACAAAGGCAGAAGTCAGAGTGTGATGAATACTTCCCACTTGCCTGGATGAGTGCAGCTTCAACAAATCAAGAAACAGGACAAACTAGGACAAAGCAACTAGCTTAAATAGAACTATATCCACTCCCTCCACCACCAAAACTCAGTAGCAGCAGTGTCCTATCTACAATAGGAACAAAGAACTGTGGACGCTGTAAATCAAAAGCAAAAACAGAAGTTGCTGGAAAAGCTTAGCAGGTGGGTGGCACCATCTGTGAAGAGAAATCAGGGTTAACATTTCAGGTCTAGTGACCATTCCTCAGAAGTCACTTCAGAAATGATTGTTAATAGTTGAATACAAGTTGTTTGATGACTATCAAATAGAACACCCGACGTAACTTTCATCTATCATTCAATCATCAAAATGAATTCAACATACTAGACAAGCAGTTGAGGGGAAGGGTCACCAGACCCAAAACTTTAACGTTGATTTCTCTTCACTAATGCCGCCAGACCTGCTGAGCTTTTCCAGCATGTTCTGTTCTTGTAGACAGGACACAAAATACACTGCAAAAATTAACCGAGGGATCCTAGAACAGTCCAAACCACAGCAATCTCCAACTAAGACGACAAGACACATGGGCACACAACCTACAAGCTTTTCCTCCAACCCATTCACAATCCCTGATTTGAAAATATATCGCTGTTTCTCAAGTGTCACTAATTTTAATATTCTGGAATACCTTCCCTATCAGTATTGCAAGTCTACCTACAGAACGTAGAGTGCAGTAGTTGAGGAAAGCTCTACCTTATTCTCAAGGGCAAACAGGGATAGGGCAATAAGTGCTAGGCAAGCCAGCAACACCCACACACCATGAAGGAATCAAGCCACAGAAACAATCCTACTCACTATAAACTAAATGCCAGCAGGAAACCAAATCCAAACATTCATGGAAACCGGTTAGTTGAATAAAGACCTCTCACTATACAAATCCCTGTATAAAGTTAAAATTTGATGAAAGAGAAAGAAAGTTAATCTGAGACACAAACAACCCAAAGGTGGAACAATGGCTGGTCCTTTTACTTCTGCTCATCTTCCACTTTTACCTCTGCATTTCTTAAAATTACTCAAACTTCAGTGCCTTTACAAATCAAAAGTTGACTATTTAAGCATCTCCAACATAACGTTTATCTTAATCCACTGAATTAGTACACTTGATTCATGAATCTACCCTAAATGGCCGAGCCCCATGCTTGTATTGCCACACCCATCCCATTACAACTACATGCTCAAATCCAAAGTCACAACAAAAGTAACAAATATAACGCAACCGCCTTATAAACATGTGCCTACAAAAGTAGAAAATGATTTATTTACTTTGGAAGAATCTACATTGCACCTAACATCAATTCATCAGTCAATTTAAACACAAAACGTTTAAAAAAAAAAAATCACACACATTTTGACAGATCACTCACTAATCACAGCACGCCCTAGTATCATACCCCAAGCAACACATTTAAAAGAAATTAGCGAATTATTTCGAAGAAGTTTTTCTTCTTTTACCTGAATTTGGCCACTTCCTGTAATGATTATGCTAAAGTCAGTCCTTATAGCTGTAACCTTTATAGCTATATATTAGACTATAGCAATGAATTCTAAAACACACGGGTAAAACCAAAGACAAGTCAATGCTGCAAAGTTAGTCAGTTTATGAAAGGGGGTGGGGACAATCACAACCAAACCTGATAAACCGTCGCCGCCTTCTCCCGCCTACACCTCGCCTGACGGACAGACGGATCAGCCAATCGGCGCTCGGAATGACACGGCGGCGCTTGCCTCACGTCCAATCCGTGTACGACGTCGTGCCAGTGTGTTAAAAAGGCACTTCCGCTAACAGGTTGCGTTGACGGGAAAGGCACCGCCCCGAGTCGCTGCTGTGGGAATTTCTTTACCCACATACCACACACCCCCACCCCCTGCCCGCCAACAAAAGTTGTTATTTTGTTAAAGCCGACTTACGTTTTGATGACCGGAAATCTTGCTACTGTCTTTTTGAAAACTTTTTTTGTCCTTCAACTTTATTTTAATTTCTTTCCTTACTGTCGTTTTTCAGCCTTAGGAATTGAATCTGCGCGACCGCTAAAGGTCCTCTCCTCAACCTAATATGATGACGCAGGGTTTGATTGCCAGTACCTCTGACCAATTGCTTGCTGCGTCAGGGTTTGGTGATGCCGGATTGTGATGTGGGGCGGCCAATTGCGTGGAGAGGTTTGCGCCGAGCAGCGCGAGAGGGGCGGGAATTCAGGCTGAAGCCGGAGCAATTTAGGTTCAGAGGGAAAATAGACATCCATCAAACTGCAACTCCAACCATTTCCAGCCCATAATGAGAGAGACTCAATCATGGCCAGATTTTATGGTCTTATAACTCTTCAGTCCTTTTCTTTTGTTTTTAAATCAAGACTTCTTCCTTGCCCACTTAATCCTGATTTCACGAACTCCAACTGCTTCCATTTCCTTTAGTGAAAACTCCGACTGTCAACCCTAAAAGGATCAGCCTGTGTCTCCTTGGGTGGTGAATATCAAGGAAGAAATATAAGTCCGACTTACCATTGGCAGCCGTGGGAATTTCACGAGGACAGGGACATAGCTTCAAATAAAAGGAAGATTTTGAGTGTTTAGCAAGATATCAATTTGATGCATTGGCCTTTGGATCACACGGTCAATCATTCATCTCCACTGGAGCGTTCAGTATGGTACTTGAAGGAAAAACACCGAATGAGCACTACTGTCAAAAGTAGTTTTGCTGACGAATTGACAGTTCTTATACAGCTACAAAAAAATACAATTTGCAGGTGAGATTTAATACCAAGCCAAAATACTCTGGAGACCTGAAATGAAAACAGGATATTCTGAAACACTCAGCAGGTCAAGTAGCATGTGCAGAGAGAGATACCGTTAATGTTTCAGATCAAAAACTTTTTATCAGAACAGATGCTGCCTGGCCTTTGGAACATATTCACATTTTCTAGTTTTATGTACAGATGAGTTGTAGTGTTTTGACCATCCTTTGATTACTGGCACAACATGATTGTGGTATTTGGCAAGAAAGACAAGCTATGTTACAAAGACAATAAGAGGTAGCAATGTATTGGATGGAGCTGGAGAAATTAGTGTCACCAGAGATGGCTATCCAAATGTCATTGATTAATGTTCCAAACCTGAACTTAAAAACAACCTGAATCAATTAGGTGGGCATAGACCTGTTCCACATTGTCTCATCCTCCTTGGAATGGAGCATCTTCTGTGACTGCTGCAGCAGCTGGTGAAGGGCCAAAAGTCAAATCCTTGGGGGAGTCCAGGTGCAGCATTGCAGGTGTCAAGAAGTAAAATAGTTTTTGTTGGATGGATTAATCTGAAGTAGAACATCTGAAATGGAAGAGAACTGATTTGAATTGAATTAGAATTAGAAGGGTTGTATCGATGGTAAAATGGTGCCAAAGACTTAACAGGAAGATTTCATGAAGCAGTGGGTGTTTCTTTGAGGAGGAGATACTTTAAGTACATGTGAGGTGAAATGGAGGGAAACCTAAGCCAAAGCTCTCTGACTAATGAGGGATGTAGAGAATGATGAAATAAAAAGCAAATGATTCCTATTGCATAAAATTTTCAATTGAAAACCATATCAAGTACCATAGTTCAGGGGAAGTGAAGAGATAAATAGGACTGGTAAAGAATGAATATGGCAATCAACATGAAAAGGAACCCAGAAAGATCTCCTACCAACATGTGAATAACAAGCAGCTAGCAAGGGGTGGTGGGACTAAAAGGATTTTATGGCATTTGCTGGTGAAGGAACTTGTCAGATTTTCCACAAGGCCTCCCAGCTACTTTACCACCTGGCTACAATTTCATGGGCTATGTGGTATGGGAAGCAGATGAGACTGTGGGCAGCCTGTCTATCTTCACCTAAGTATTGTTCCTTGGCCACTTGCCGGCCACTTCCCAGCCAAATAGGGATACTAAATTATATTGTCAGGAGAGTGTTGCCCAGGAAGCCATCAAAATTAATTCTGGATCCAATGAAGTCTAAACAAGTTCTTGTTGAGCTGACACAAATGGTTGACTGCTAATTGAATTAGGTAAATTTTGGTATGTTAACAATTCAGACAATCCAGAGAAGATTGCTTATAAATGGTTTCTTGTGCAACAGGGAATTTCATACTATTTGCTTCATTGTATGGCAATAGTAATTAATGTTATTCGAGATAACAAGTTTAGGGCCAACAGCAGAATAATTCTTCAGTGTGAGCATTCAAATTTCAAATGGACTTGTAAGCAAAGGTTTGGAGGAAAATCCTGGAATCCTATAAGAAATAGTGGGATAGTGTGATCTGCTCTCTTTTCCTGTTAATATCTTGACAACATCAATCAGATCATCTTTAACTTTCTAAATTCTAGGGGAAACAGGCCTAATTGGTATCTTTCTCATAACCGTGAAGTACAGGTGTCACTCTTGTAAATCCACATTGTACTCTCTCCAAGGTCAATATGACCTTCCTGAGATATGGTGCCTCGATCTCTCATAGTACTCCAAGTAGGGTCTAACCAGGGTTTTGTATAATTGCAGCATAACTTCTGCATCCTTATACCCCCATCCTCTAGATATTAAGTCCAGCATTCAATTATTTTCTGCTCTTGTTTGTGACATTTTAGAGATTTTCATTGAACCCCCATGTCTCTTTAAACATCCACAATGAGTAACTTCAGACAATTTAGAAAGTATCCTGATCTATCCGTTTCCTTTACCAATACTGATTAATATACAGACTTGTGTAGATTTCCACATTAGCAATGGCTGCTTCAGCAAATAAGCAGAGAGCTCTCAATGTAATGATGGAAACATACCACAACATGAGTCATTGTCACGGAGTGTGGGAAGAAAATTGGAAAATATAGTCACATAATTGTACATTCCAAGAAAGGAATAAATGAAAAGAGGAGTCAAAATAGGTTCGACATTGAAAATACTGCCAGTTTGTTGCATTTTGTTCACATCTTTTATTTCACAAAATCTCTTAAGTATTAACACCTGTTCAGAATCTTGAAGAATTACTTGAAGAAGTCTCGGTTTTGGAACCGCAGAAAACAAAATATGTTCCACAAATATTACACAAGAACTTCATTATGAGATATTCCCATGCACAGTCAAACAGTGATTGCACTTGTTTACATATACACAATGACTGCATTCAAAACTGATTTTGTTCGGGGTATGATTTGGGGGTACAGTTTGCTAGGTGGCTTGAGTGTTGTGCAGAATAATAACAGTATGAGTTAAATCTCTAAAACTTATGAGGACTTAGGGTATGTGCCTTGTGCTATATTGGTTCATAACCTTCCAACAACTACAATCTATATGCTTCATGATGTTTCCTAAGAAACAAGAACAGGAGTAGGCCATCTAGAAGCCCTCCGCCATTCAATGAGGTCATGGCGCATCTATTTCCTCATTATCCCTTACTATCTCTGTATCCCTTGCTTTTTTAATATGTAAAAATCTGTCAAACTCAGTCTTAAACATGCTCACAACTGACAGCAGAGAATTCCAAAGATTTATTACCCTTTGGCTAAATTCTTCCTCAGGTCAGTCCCAAATGCTGCTGTTTATTCTGACACTGTACCATCCCTCCACACATTATCTTGCCAGAAGAAACATCCTCACATCGATCCGGTTGAACCCTGCAAGAATTTTGTATATTTGAATGAAATCATGACTCAGTCTTAACTCCAGGGAATATATGCCCAGACTATTTAATAATTTCTCATAGGATAATCCCTCCATCCTATAAATCAGTTTGTGAACGTTCGTTGAACTCCCTTTATGGCAAATAAACTTTCAAAAGTAAAGCCAAACCAATACACAATACTCCAACTGTAATCTTGTCAAGACTCTATATGATTTTAGTAAGACTTATTTGCTCTGATTCTCAAACCTTCCTGTAATAAGGCCCAACATGTCATTTGCATTCTTAATTGCTTGCTGTACCACCATGTTAACTTTCAGTGACTCATGAATGAATCCTTTGAAGTTCAGTATTTTCCAGCCTCTCTGCATAATGTGATAACGCAAAACCAAAGACCTTGATTTATTAATGCTATGAAGAAAAAGAAATGTTTACTACCTGACTTTTCCTTTATTGTTGTTTTGATAATGCTTCTTTTTCATAAGGGTACGGTTCTGCATGTGCCACAGCACCTCCAGCACCTGCTCCATCGGCTACTTTATACCTGAATGTACAAAATGAATGTTAGCCAGCTGTTTACCATGGAGAATAACACAGCCATATTCATTCAACCCTAGCATCATATGCATTTTCTTACTGGGTTCACCAAATAGTAAGTAAGATGAGAAGCTGATCAATGTTCCTTATCCTCACTGATTCCTGCCACAAAATGCCTTTGTAGTTTCTTGGTTGCCATCGGTTAACTCAACCTGACTAACAGTCAAATTGCGCAACCTTCAGCTCTGTGTTCCTCAATTTGATGCTGAACAGTGCATTCGTCAAATAAGCAACAGCGAAACATCCTGTTTATTTTTAAAATGAATCATTGAAGGAAATCCTTGATTAGCAGTCCCTGGTACACTCAAACTATCAACATTGCTTGCTGCACTACATCAGTCCATAAGGGCACTTTAATATTGTGTGGTATAGCAACATTTCCGCAATAACTAATACATTTTTTAAAAAGTAAATAGTTAAAAACATAAACAGGATAAGTCGTATGAACAATGATTTTTGCATAAAATGGTGTACAACATACAAAGGCAGTATTGTGTCAACACTAGTTGTTTTTAATCTTTTTTCTAGGGTGGAGATGTACTCTATAGTTCAGCTTCCTTTTCAGAGAATTTTTTTTTTGATTTGTGTCCAATGGAATTACTTGGTATGGATTTTAAACAGGCTAGAAATTTCTAGTTTATAGGCACCCCATAGATCATAAATGCCTCAAGGTCTCCTAGAGATGTCCAAGTCCTGCCCACCAATTTCACCTAACAAATTTGCAGAAAGGATAAACAGGGCCAAAGGCAACGTCCATACAGTAAATCCAAGAATGAATAAACAATTAATAGAACATATGGGCACATGAGAACTGTTACAGTGGCCATAATTTAAGAAG